GGTGCCTGTAGTCCCAGCTACTTGGGAGGCTGAGGCAAGAGAATCACTTGAGCCCAAGAGTTTGAGGTTGCTGTGAACTGTGACACTATAGCACTCTACAGAGGTCGACAAAGTGAGACTCTGTCTAGAAAAAAGAAGGACTGGCACCTCCCCTGGCAGAGCACAACCCACGGTGTCTGCTTCTCTCCTAGGCACTGCCTGCTCACCTGTGAGGAGTGCAAGATAAAGCATGGACTCAGTGAGAAGCCCGGATCACAGCCTTCAGCTTCCTAAACTCTGTGTCTGGGGCATTTCAAGTTTTGTACACATTTAAAATTTCCAGTGTACTTTAAAATAAAATACTCCTAGTGGAACAAAAGCATGGGGATTCTCTCCATCTATTGAAATACTTTCTGAGCGTTCTGGACTTTCTGCTCTTGTAAGACTTTCACATTGGAATCCCTCACACCTGGAGAAGAAATGATGCCGCCCCCGTCTTGCTTCCAGCTGAGTGAGAGAATTTAGCGTCTTCCCTGATTAGCCGCTGTTCATTCTTTTCACCCCAGTGCTCCCGGTTTTCTGGTGGAGGATAGGAGTGAGTGTTGAAGAAGGTAAGAAGTCATGACCCAAAGGAAATTGATGAGTGTAGAGATAGAAATACAAGGTCTCAAACTCCTGAGCTCGGGTGCTCCTTCTGCCTCGACCTCCCAGAGTGCTAGGATTATAGGTGTGAACCACCATGCCCACCCTAGAACGACTTCTTCCAATTCCTTATATCCTTGGGGCACTACAGTGACTCTGAGAAGTGTGTTTCTGTCTTGGCTTATTAGGAGTGATGACTAGGAAGGAGTCTTTCAAGATAATTTTAATTTCTAAGGAGATCAAACAGTCCAGCCCTTTTAGCTAAGGTGATCATTTGTTTCTAAATGTTGCCTCGGTTCCTGTCAGCCTAGTGTTCAAAAGTTACTGCTGTAATTACACTGTATTCTTCATAAATGTAAGCTTCACAATTCTAAAACCATAGTGGAAAATCCTTTTGTGTGTTTCTCTTATCATAGTAGATCAGAATTTCCAGAAAGATTGACAGATTGTATATATTATACTGTGTATTATAAACATGTATGTGTATGATATACACACAGCATATAAAATACTATATATAATGCTCATATCAGTAATTTTCAGCCAGTGTGCCGAGGTACACTGGCATGCTGTGAGAGGATCTTAGGTTGTGCCTCGAAAATTTTTAAAGATTATTAATTAAACTATTTTCCAAAGAAGTTCAAAACACAGTACATATATAGATATAGATATAGATATAGATATAAACTCTTTTCTTTTTTTTTGAGACAAAGTCTCACTTCATTGCCCTCCATAGAGTGCTATGGCATCATAGCTCACAGTGACCTCAAACTCTTGGACTCAAGGGATCCTCTTGTCTCAGCGTCTCAAGTAACTGAGACTACGGGAGCTCACCACAATGGCCAGCTATTTTTAGACACAGGGTCTCACTCTTACTTAGGCTGGTCTTGAACTCCTAAGCTGAAACAGTCTGCCTGTCTTGGCCTCCCATTTATTTATTAATTTTTGGTCAACATAATTTAAATGTGCCATAGAAGTTTAACTACAGGTTCAAGTGTGCCGTGAGATAAAAAAAAAAAAAAAGGTTGAAAAACACTGGCTTATAAATTAAAATATTTTCATTTAAACAAAGATATTCTCTTCTCTTGCTGCCAGAATAGATGATTCATCTACTTTTGGTTAACATGAAAGTAATAAAAATTTACCTTGAATGATGTGATTAATAAATAAAATGTAATACACATATCATATAATTGTCTTGATATTCAAATAATGCAACCTGTTAAACTGGCAGAAGACGTTTCCACTTTAGAATTCTGCTTCCAAATTTCTACTGTAAAAGCTGCTTATGTAGACAGAGTTGGCGAGATTTCTGTGATCAACCCACAGCCTACAGTCCAGGATCGGACAAATCAGTGGAGGAAGCCGGACTCGTGGCCTATCACACACGGGTGCACGCCTCACTTCCATGTGCACAAAACTACAGGCTCACTGTTGTCAAATCTTCCAATTTTTCAACAAAAGAAGTGCAGGCTTTTATGTGAAACCTCTTGGCTTTAAAATGTTCATGTTCTTTTTTGTATATTCAAATATCATGCAGCCACTCTGTGCCGGGAACTGTCGTAGGTCCTAGGAAGATAGCCCTGAACACAACCAATAAAATTTCATCTTTCTGGAGCTTATATTCTCATCAACAGTTCTTGGCTTGAGATCCAATTCAACCTCCCACCACCTATTCGCCTCGCCTCCCAGAGTGCTCGGATTACAAGTGCCTGGGTTATCTGTTCTTTTTATAATGTGACTAGGTGAAGGCCACGCATGGTGGCTCATGCCTGTAATCCTAGCACTCTACTCTGGGAGGTTGAGGCAGAATTGCTGGAGCTCAGGAGTTCGAGACCAAACTGACCAAGAGTGAGAAGAGTTACCCTTGGTAGGCAGTCTTGGGTAGAAATGCTACAGGACTTGTGGCTAGGTTAGACATAAAAGGCAAAGGAGCTTTTGACATGCTGACCCCGCACACTAGAGCCCTAAGTAGTCACAGAAAGAGCATGATCGCCCTGAGCACACCAGGCTGAGAGGAAACCCAACCCAGACACGGCAAATTCCTGCCATCCAATGAGAGCCGCATCCTGGCCAGGCCTCGGCTGCTCTAGGGAGCCACTTCTTCAGCTCCATCCGACACCAGACTGAAAAAGGCCCAGAGCCCAACCACCCAGGTGAATCCTTAACTCCCAGCTCACAGAAAACTGAGATAATAAATGGCTGCTGCTTTAAACCACTGGGTTCTGAGATGATCTGCAGCAAGTTAGTATGTTTCTGGGAGAAATTTAGGGTGAAAAAGTATAATTCAGAGGAAACCACAATTTCATTTTCAATTCACCTGAAGCAGAAATATCCAGGTCAGTGTCCACGGGGGATTTGTTCTAGGACCCACGAGGACACCAAAATCCATGGATGTTTTTAAACAAGTCCCTTATACAAAATGCAGTAGTGCTGGTATATAACCTACACATGCCCTCCTGTGCAATTTAGATCATCTCTACATCACTTCTATAACCTCCACACGCCCTCCCATAGACTTTAGATCATCTCTACATCACTTCTATAACCTCCACACGCCCTCCATAGACTTTAGATCATCTCTACGTCACGTATGTAACCTCCACACGCTCTCCCATAGACTTTAGATCATCTCTACATCACGTATATAACCTCCACACACCCTCCATAGACTTTAGATCATCTCTACATCACATATATAACCTCCACACGCCCTCCCATAGACTTTAGATCATCTCTACATCACGTATATAACCTCCACACGCCCTCCATAGACTTTAGATCATCTCTACGTCACTTACGTAACCTCCACACGCCCTCCATAGACTTTAGATCATCTCTACATCACTTATATAACCTCCACACGCCCTCC